TTTATTATTTATGGACATAAGAGTCCGTGCAATGAAAAGATATTGATAGGGGTCACTAGAGTGGAAACCAGACAGAATTATTTGGCATGCGTTGTAGCCACGGAAGAAGTGTTAATGGGGAAAAAGTTTTTTGATATTAAAATAGTGCCAATAATTAACGAATTCGAAGATGTGTTCCCAGATGAATTGTCAGGGTTACCCCCTGAAAGAGAAGTTAAATTTTGCATTAATTTGATTCCTAGCACGGAACCAAAATCTAAAGTTCCATATCGAATGGCACTAGTAGAAATGCGAGTATTGCGATAGCAATTGCAAGAGTTAGGGGAAAAGGGATTTATTCGTCCTAGTATTTTCTTTTGGGGAGCTCTGGTATTATTTATAAAGAAAAAGGATGGGAGTTTGAGGTTATGCGTGGATTATCGAAAGTTGAACAGTGTGACTATTAATAATAAATACCCACTTCCCAAGATCGATGATTTATTTGATCAACTGCAAGGAGCGAGATATTTCTCAAAAAATTGATCTACGCTCGGGGTATCATCAATTAAGAGTTCGAGAAAAGGATGTACCAAAGACTGCATTACGTACGAGGTGTGGACATTTTGAGTTTTTGGTGATGTCTTTTGGTTTAACTAATACTCCCATCGCATTCATGGATTTAATGAATAGATTATTTCGACCTTATTGTGATAGATTTATGGTGGTATTTATTGACGCTATCTTGGTGTATTCTCGAAGTTTTGAAGAGCATGCACAACACTTGAGAATGGTGTTACAGACACTTCGAGAACATGAATTGTATGCAAAGTTCTCTAAGTGTGCCTTTTCTTTTGAGAGTGTTAGTTTTCTCAGACATGTAATGTCGAAGGAAGGGATTAGCGTGCATCCTCAAAAAGTTGCATAGATCCAAACTTGGTTAAGATCGAGTACGGTTACTAAGATTTGAAGTTTTCTAGGATTAGTCAGGTATTATCGTCGATTTGTGCAGGATTTCTCGATAATCATGGCACCATTGACAAAGTTGATGCAAAAGGAGCTAAGTTTGAATGGATTGATGAATGTGAAGACAGTTTCTTAATATTAAAGGAGTGTCTGATATCAGCACCAATTTTAAGTTTACCAAATGGTCCAGGAGGTTACGTTATATATTGTGATGCATCAAGAGTTGGATTGGGATGTGTGTTGATGCAAAACAAAAAAGGTATAGCGTACGCCTCGAGCCAGCTTAAGAAGCATGAGCAGAATTATCCTACCCATGATTTGGAGATGACAGCGATAGTATTTGCCTTCAAGATTTGGCACCATTATCTACATGGGGAAAGCTTTGAAATATATACTAATCACAAGAGCTTGAAGTATATAGTTCAGCAATGTGATCTCAATTTAAGGCAGTGCCGAATTGCTCAAAGATTACGATTGTACCATTCAGTATCACCCCGGTAAGGCGAACATTGTAGCTGATGCCCTAAGTCAAAAATCTATAGGGGCTTGGCCCATGTGTCAATCGAACGGGGAAGTCTAGTGCATGAATGGAAAAGCTTAGTAGCATGGGGATCAAGATGGATATTAGTGGTCCTAATACTCTTATTGCTCATTTTCAAGTGCGACCAATGATCATAGATCGAATCCGCAAAGCTCAAGGTCAAGATGAATTTGTGATGAAAATTTTGGGATCGGAAGAGCGAGATCAGAAATATGTGTATGGAGATGATAAACTGTTGAAGTCTGAATTCCGAATGTATGTGCCTAATCAAGATAACTTGAGGGAAGAAATTTTAGAAAAAGCCCATATTACTGCCTATACTGTACATCCAAGAGCCACCAAGATGTATCATGATTTAAAAATGATTTATTGGTAGCCAAGTATGAAGAAAGATGTAGCTAAATATGTAGCCAAATGCCTAACTTGTCAGCAAGTTAAGGCTGAACATGGGAAACCCCCAAGTTTGTTGCAACCCTTACTGATTCTGGAATGGAAATGGGAACATGTGGCTATGGATTTTGTGAATGGATTGCCCCGTGTTAGCGGAGGATATGATTTGATTTGGGTAATAGTGGATCGATTGACCAAATTTGCTCATTTTGTTCTAGTAAAAAATAGCTATGGATTAGCTAAGTATGCAAAAGTTTATTTCGATTGTAATATATGATTGCATGAAGTTCCTATGACCATAGTGTCTAATTGAGGGCCACAATTTACTAATGAGTTTTGGAGAAGTTTACATGGAGCCTTAGGCACTCGTTTAGACTTTAGTAATGCATATCATCCTTAAACAGATGGCGAATCAGAACGTGTGATACAAACACTTGAGGATATGTTAAGATCAATAGTATTAGAATTGGGGACCATGTGGAATCAGCAATTATCTTTGGTGGAATTTGCATATAATAATAGCTACCAAGCTAGTATTGGAATGGCTCCTTTTGAAGCACTGTATGGATGGAAGTGTTGGCTACCCATTAGATGGTTTGAAGTGGGAGAAAGGAAATTATTAGGACTCGATTTGGTGCAACAAGCAACTGATGTGTTTAGTTTAGTAAGGGAACGTTTAAAGATAGCCCAGAGTAGACAAAAGTCTTATACAAATAATAGGCGTCGTCTTTTGGAATTCCAGGTGGGGGATTTTGTGTTTCTGAAGGTATCCCCATAAAAACGAAGTAAAAGATTCAGAAAGAAGGGGAAATTGAGTCCAAGATATATTGGACCTTTTGAGATTTTGGAATGTATTGGGTCAACAGCACATCGACCAGCTTTACCAATGGAACTAGCTCAAGTAAATCCTACCTTTCATGTGTCTATGTTAAGGAAGTACATTAAGGACCCAACACATGTTATACGTTATGATTGGGTACAATTGGATGAAAGACTAACTTTTAAAGAGTAGCTAGTGGCAATACTGGATCGTCAAGTAAAACAACTGCGCTACAAGGAAATTGCCTCGTTAAAAATCTTGTGGCAAAACCGGTCAGTGGAGGAGGCAACCTGGGAACCCGAAGGGCAAATGAGGAAGGAAAATCCACATCTTTTTCAAGATTAAGGTATTCTTTACCAACCCATTCCATTTAAATTCGAGGATGAATTTGTCTTAAGTAAGGGAGATTGTAATACCTCGTACCCTCATTTAGAAGTTAATAAGACTCTATCGATGAGAAGAAGGGTTATTTGATATAAGTCTAAGTGTGAGAGAACGATGATAGGTAAAAAAAATATTTTAAAATAAAATAATATTTTATGAATAAAATATTATTAAAATATTAATATTTTATTTATTAGTGAGATTAGTTAAAAGAGAGGGTTATGTGACTAATCTAAGTGAGGGAGAAGAAGAAAAGTAGAATTTTGAAGAAGAAAAAAAGAGAAAAAATGGGAGAAGAAAAGGAAAGAGACAAGAATAGTTACTATACATTAACTAAGTAAAAAGCTTTCACCTTTCTCATTTGACTTTTACTTCTTTTTCTTTTCACTTGGCAAGCCAATTAAGACCAACTTTTTCGATTTTCTTCTTATCCCAATTGGCTTCCTCAACCTTCACTTTTCCATCACTTTACTCATATTTTTTCTTTCTTTTCAAAAACCACTCTTTC